GCTTAAATTGCGAGGAAAAAACGGGCCTGTTGGAATTGCCTGCCTGCATAAGTAATTTTCTTGTTGCTGCTGCCTCGACCGACTACAGTTTTGGGTTTTTAAACTGCGTCAGTGTGGGTACCTGAGCGACAGTCTCAGGGTCAGGCTGATTGACAGGTGCGGCGGTGGGGCACGTGTGCAGCCGACAATGTCATCGCCGTGCCGATCAATACACCCGTCTGCACATGACGCAGGTGCAGACGTGTGTCAGCTGGAAGCGTCATGGCCTTATACCAGCGTAGGCGAGTGCAATTGTAGGCAGGCCGATACTTTAATCAGCGCATGATGGGTCCTTTCATGCACCGGGGAGAATCAATTTTGGTTCACTGCACTCCTCTGGCTTTTCTGAAGTTTACTCGGGAACCCAAGTAGCGGGAGCTTAAAATTGGGCCGCCATTTTCGCTTTGCTTTTCACTCGCATGCAAACTTTCTTGTGTATACGTCAGTGGGTTCGTTTCGTTTATTATATCCCTTTTGGGTAAAGACGCCGGTAACAGCAGTTTATGTAGTGCACCTCATTAATCTATATTCCCAGCATTTTGTCCTACGAAAACTGTGGTTACAGGGTTTATGGGTAGGGAATTAGGATAGGCAGTGGAATATACTTAAAAAACTGCTATATACATTTTTATTTTATTGTATCTAGAAATGTTGTTGATTTATATCTGTAGATGTTCCTATTCTGTATTATCGTTTAACTTACTGCGGTAAAATCCGATTATCAACTAGCAGGTTTCTTGAAATTCCTAAAAGATAGAAATGGTAGTTAGGTGGTCGTCTACTTCAACGTCCAACTAAACTCCCTGGAGTTAGGTTAGTATAGTCCGCGGCGCTAAGCGCCACACACACCTTCAATTTACATACGGAACAACTTACTCCCAGCGGCCGCGGAAAACAAATTCGACAACATTTATGCACTTTAGCCTAACTTCTAAAAATTTCCTTCCCCGTCTACCTTATTTCCCCACCCCTAAAACTCTATAACCACCGTTTACGTAGGACAAAATGCTGGAACTAGAGGTGTATGAGGTACACGACATAAACTACTTTTGCGAAGATGCTGTATAAACATCACCATAGTAACAAAAATCCCTAGAATGGTGTAATATGGGACCGGTGGCAGCAGGACTTATATAAGTAGAGCCTAACAGGGAGAAGGATAAGTAATATAAAAAATAGAGCGTATAAAATTAGTAAAAAATAGGTACAGTTGTTTAAAACACCTATCGTATGGCAAAGAAAAACGCGCGATAAAAAAAATAAACAAAAAGTAAGTAAAAGCAAATCGAAGACAACTGAGTAAACCGCCAGGATAGAAATAACAGTAAATCAGAGTTCAATATGAAGTACAATGGGCAGCAGTTTCCTTCGTAGAAAAGAATTTTTTTATTTATATTTACATGCCTACACACACGCTTCCCGTAAGACAGAAACTTGGTTTTTTTACATACAATATCACTATCCCACCATAACCCTAACCTTTACCCTAACCCTTACCCTAACCCTAACCCTAACAGAAATTAATTGAGTAGGCATGTAACTATAAATAAGAACATTCGTTGCTACCAAGGAAACACTTGCCATAAAATGATTAGGGAAAAAACATAAATAAAGAATACGCGCGAATTGGCCCCCGTTAGTTGACTGAAATGGAAATGAACAGCGGTGTCTATGAGCCTATTTGATAAGTTGATGCGTAAGCAAACAAACAAACAAGAAAGTAGCAACAGAATGCAAGTAGGTGCTTTAATTTTTAAAGCAGGCAAAATACGCCTTCTACTCACCTACTTCCTGGGACTCGCATGTTCGCTTGTATTAGCAAAGTACGTTGTCTCTTTTTGAAAATTAAATGAAGGTAATGTTAATGAAATATATAAAATGATAAGTATTTTGTTAGGATTAGCAAACTACAGTGTTGTCTATGTGGAAGCCTTACCCCTTTTTGTTTATTCGAATTACGTTAATGAGGTCACTAGCGCACGACGCCAGCACTGTTTTGAAGGAAGTCCAATTTGACCTACAGTTTGCGACTTATCCAAAGGCGATTCTTCATGGAGTCAGTAGTTGTGGTCTTCGGTCCTGATGCATCGTTTGCAATCCTCCGGTATTTGTAAACCTAATTCTGTTCGCGGTG